AATAGCAGAACAGACTGGGTTCTATAGCCTTGAATGGCAACTGATCTACCGCAGAAAGAAATGGCAACCTACTGCGGGGGAAAAAATCTGCCTCGTCAGTCATGTATCAAAAGATACATGATCGCCTAAGTGTGTATGACGCATGGCACATAACTGAGTTCAATTTTCTAAGCGTTTAAATTAACATACCATTCCTTGCCTCAGTTAACAGCAGATTGTAAGTCATTTTTGAGAACAGCTGCCAATTTGACTTTTTTGAACTGATCATATTTACGATTAAAACAACAGTAAATAGCTGTGTCTTCATCATAAAAACCGAATTGAGAATATTAGGAAGATCTGCCCATTAGCAAGGATGCAGCTGATAAAACAGAATTGAGATTTGCAAAGACTTTTCCAGAGGGACTCAAACTGAAGAGTCTGCGTAGCAACCACCTTTGTCAAACCTTTTTTTTTTTTATTATTATTATTATTGATGAGTCACCAGCAAACAGTAGAACTCTCGATTGGTACACTGGTCAGGGAATTGCAACTCAATTTCCAACAAAACTATATTTTGAAATCTTTATACTAAGGGAGATAACTCAAAAATATGATTTATGAATTATCTCCCTTTATAGAAAGTAAACAAATCGCTTATGTAAGGATAGATAATGGATATCAATTACGCCAAAAAAGAATAGAAAATGGTGTAAAAAGATGTGGTTGAGTTCCAACAGATCTTTAAGATTAGGTAGACTTTTTTCTGTCGAATTCTTCACTTTAGTTGTGTCCACATTCACTTTATAGTTCATTTGCTTTAAGGAGGTACCTACTGATTAGCTAAAACATTAGCATTCCAGTATGGAAAATGCCTCAAGAAAACGTATTGAAAACAAATTTTTATCATCAAAATGTTTATGTTATCATTAAGAGGAAAACCTCAAAGATTTTTTTGGATTATTAATTTTTTTTTTAATCTTTTTAAAAATGTTTGAAATTTGATTAAACCTCTTCATATTTTTTTATCTTTCTTTTTTGTTGTGTCAGTGGGGTGGCGGACTATAGATTATGATAGAGAATTTTAGAGTCTTTTTGCAGTGAAAAATACATTGATTTTTAAATTCTTGCAGAAATCAGATAATTATCAGATTATAATGAAACTCTCATGACTTATTCACAAATAAATTAAATTATTTTAGAATTTTTTTTTTTTTTTTTTTAGAAAATCTTGGAAAAAATATATTTTTACATCTGTTACCCCACACTAATTTAATTTTATGAAATTTCGACAAATTAAAATTAGTACCTTTTCATGTTTATATTGGTTAAAAAGAGATCAATGATTTCTTTTTATAAAACATGACCGTTAGTTACCAAAAATTTGCTTGATTTGGTTTGGTTTGTTTTACGGCATATCAACCTCAAAGTGTTATTTAATGCTGACAAGATTTTTTATGCTGGTAATATTTTTTTTTCAAAAATGTATTGCTGCTAATATTTTTTTTTTTTTTGAATGTACTGTTGATAATGTATTGCAGGGAATAATTTTTTCTTCAAAAATGTATTACTGGTAAAAAATTTTCCCCAAAAGTATTGCTGGTATTAAAACCTATTTTTAAACTTTCATAGTGTTTTGACCCCTTTTGTGGTGGTTCAGTATTTGGCCATCGTTGGAACCCTGACAATTGCTAAAACCCGGAGCCAGGGTGAACCTGGGAACACCAGCAATTAAGAGGTGGTTCCACAATCCTCAAAACGTTTTGATCAAAGGCCTTACTGTCGGATGTAGTTTATCGTCTTACCCAGGACGTGAATTTAGTTCATCGTCATACCCAGGACGAGCCATATCTGGCCTGGTGATCTTGCTATTCGTCCAGAGATTATTGACAAAATCAAAAGAATGATCTGAAATGTAATAAATTCTACCTTGGCATCTCGTCTTCAGTCACTTTCTTACCAACGTAACGTGGCTTCTCTCTGTCCTTTTCTTCAAAAATTTATTGCTGGTAATAATCTTTTAGAAAAATGTATTGCTGGTATTAAAATCTATTTTTATACTTTCATAGTTTTTAGCCCAGTTTGGGAATAAACTATTTGCCCATAGCTAGGACCCTAACAGGTGCTACCACGCTGGTCAGAGTGGACCTGGGAACACCAGCAATTAAGAGGTGGTTCCACGCTCCTCGAAACCTCCTGATCAGAGGCCTTGTTGTTGGATAGAGTTTATCGTCATACCCAGGGTGGCCGAAAATTTGCTCTGAATCGTAAAACAAAAAATGCAATAAAACTAATTATTTAATTAGAAAAGCTTTCAACTGCTTTTATGAATAAGTTATATTAAGGAGACTTTTGTCTTAAGAAAAATATTTTTCGATGAATAATGAATTTTACAAGAATTGTTTTCCTTTTTCTTTAAATTTTAATTAGAATAATTCATAGAGAATTAACTCTTAAATTTCTGTATTTTTGCCCCTTTTAGGTGACAGTGTTAAGTAAAAATGTGTTTTACTAATCATTTAATGGAAAATCTTAGTACAATTCATTCACTCCCAATATTTTAAAAATAATTTTAAATATCTTTGTGTGTGTGTGTGTGTGTGTGTGTGTGTGTGTGTGTGTGTGTGTGTGTGTGTGTGCGTGTGCGTGTATATGTGTATAAACGTGCCGATTTTTTAAATACGGACGTCCGTACAAGACATTATCAGAAACTAAGAACGATAACTATAGTAAATTTAAAGCCAAAGTACTTAAAATTCAATAAAACATTAGATTATGGAGCATATATTCCTAATTTTAATATTACACAGATTATATAAAAAAAAGGCGATCATGTTATATGCCTCAGGTGAATTTTACAGGTATGTTCACCGTAGAAAAAAAAATTAGACAAATTCTATATGTCAGTCAAACTGTCAACATCTTATGTAAACATCTACCACCGTATAAATCTATATTGCTGAGATGAGGTATTATGTACATTATTTACATTATTTACATTATTCGTAGTTTTGTCTTCATCTTTGTCGCCATATTTATTACAACGTTTCTAACTAGATGAAGAAGGCAGGAGCGTACAACGGCCAAAACGTTGTAATAAATATGGCGACAAAGATGAGGATAATAGTCCGAATAATGTAAATAATCTTCCGCCGTATTTAAAAATGCATAACTACAATATCTTAAACTTAATGTAATATTTGTTTCAAATCAGAAGAATTAAACTAGCTAGCTAATATTCCTCAAATAAAGTTTCTGAAAAAGTATATTTTAATTTTGAAAGTTTTACTAATAAAGAGAATTACATTGTAATGAAAGATGACTAAAATAGCTCTGAAATCAGTGATTTGAACAATTTCAAAACGAAAATTCCCTCAATTAAATTTAAATTAGATTTGAAATACAGCAACATATTCTGTTTATGGGAAATATTAAATTTAATCTATTTGAAAGAAATTAAGACTAAAATAAAAAAAAAAAAAAAGGTTTTTCAATTTTTAAAATTTCATTTTAAACCTTAAGTATTTCGTTTCTGTGGAAAATTCTGCTTGAAATAATTCAAATCCTGGACCAACCGTTATCTAACTTATATATCTTCATAATCAGCACTTAATTCCTCCTCTTACGTAAATAGAACAATCTCAAGCGTTCAAATTCCTCTTTGGAGGGATTTTCAACGCATACTTATCATCTCTCGGTTGCGTCTCTGTCTTTGTACAGAGTGCGCTCAGGGGCTTCTCTGTCAAAGGACAGAGGGGTAACTGAGGAAAATTATACTGAAGAGATGCCCAGCCCTGGGGAACAGCTGCCTGAGGCCGCGCCCTCCCATTGCACAAGAGGGAGAGATTGGTGCTCGCACCGAGGCCAGCGCAATCGACGGTGGCGGGGGTTGAGTGAATTTTTGTTCCTGTCCTGGGCGTACGCGCTCGGGTCCCTACCGAAAAATAGACCTTGTGTCACATCTCGTCTAAATGGGGGGGAGAGTGTAAATACCGTGTGTAAATTACTCATTTTAAGTAATTTCCCGTCTACTTATCCTCTCTCAGTTGAGCCTCTGTCTTTGGACAGAGTGCACTCAGGGGCGACTCCGTTAAAGGAGAGATTTGCAACTGTGGAAAATTATACTGAAGAGGTGCCCAGCCCTGGGGAACAGCTGCCCGAGGCCGCGCCCTACCATTGCACAAGAGAGAGGAATCGGTGCTCGCACCGAGGCCAGCGCAACCGTCAGTTGCGGGTGCTGTGGGCAATCTTTGTCCCTTGCCCGGATGCACGCGCTCAGGTCCCCGCTTTAAAAAGACCTTGTGTCACATCTCGTCCTCGTGGGGGTACGAGTAAACACCGTACATAGAACAATCTCAGTCGGTAATCCTATATCGTGAGTAGCTCTTGGGATGAACATTTAATAAAAGCTCACAAAAGTACGGCAACTTTTGCGTTCCACGCCATCTGTGGCACGGAGTTCAGTCATATTGGAAAAATAATCTCCCAGACATGCAAGCCTTTTATCAAACGATTCTTCAGGAAATTAATGCATTTGGCACAATTCAAAATGGCTTCTGTTTGCACCGACATTTTTTAGCCATTCTTCTTTCGGTACCCTCTAAGCGTCACACTTATCCCTGAACTTATCGTAGAGTAACGTGGGTCATTTCGCTTTTCTGTAGGCCTTCTGACAAAATTCCTTCATTCATGTGGGCTACAGCTGTCCAGTCCACTCTTTACGGCCTCGACAGAGTTAAAAAGCGATTACGCTTCCGTTACTCTATCGTTATTTCCATATAAAATGTTTCAGATGAGCTACCGTCGTACCAGTTCAAACATTTAAAGCTAAAACCCACCATGCTATGTACAAAGAGGCGAGCCATCTACATTCTCTTCGCATTCCATTGGTAAGAAGGACGTTCCATTCGGACAGCTCCTTCACAAGAGCGGCTACTTTATGGAACAGACTCCCGAGATTATGCTTCCTCAAACACCACAATCTTAACCACTTTAAATCGAAGACCAGCTGTTACGGCTTACGGATATATCACGTTGAAACACCGGTTTCTGTACGATCACTGAAGTTAAGCAACGTCGAGCCTGGTCATTACCTAGATGGATGACCGCTTGCGAATATTAGGAGATTTATGCTTAGAAGTAAAGGGGTGTAATGAATAACGGCTTGGAATTGTTAACAGGCGAGCCGGTTTCGATTTCCAGTCGGGTTCGTGATGTTCAATTACGCGCAAAGGCCCTTGGGAAAAGTATGAATAAATGGACATCTTCCTGATCCCCGCTATGAGTTAATTAGCAAAATTCGAATCAGTAAATCATTATTATCAAAAAAAAAAATTCTTACAATCTAAAAATATATCTTTAAATAGCTTGTAAATAATTTGCAAATCTGTAGAAACCCAGTCAACCAATCAATCAATCAGCCGTTACCTATCATCGATCATATCTGCACTAACGTCCCCTTCCACACTACTACATCCATACAACAATCTCATTTAGTAACCCTCTCACTGGCTTGAGTGGTTCTTGGGCCTTGTATTGTGTGAACGTTTCGTCGAAAATCAAAAAAAAACAGCTCCATCCTAGTTTCGTCGCTGAATGGGGTGAATATAAACTTTCCATCAAAGGCTTTTTTCCTTTTAATATGGCTTTAAGACTGAAAAAGAAAGAAAAAAGGAAATAGATAGATAGATAGATAGATAGATAGATAGATAGATAGATAGATAGATAGATGGAAAGAACAACTACGTTTACCTCCCCTTCTTTCATCAATTTTCCTATCAATATTTATTATACAAAAACACATAATTGTGATACATGGCCTAAAAAGGGTCGGGGTTGAGGCTGGTCGTCACTAACTATCCTATACCTAGCCAATCCGATTCACGACCCTTTCACTCATTACAATTTGCTGATACACCACAAAACCCCGTCCGTCACCAATCAATCCTCCATGCACCATAATACCGCATCCACTCAAGGGGATCCTACAAAACGCGCCCAATGCCATAAAAATTTAATGATACTAAATTATAATACATAAAAATCTAATAATGAAGAATCATCCGTGTCCTTTCTGTTGATGATCTCAGAGGTTGCGCTTTAAGTTTTGTAGGATTAGTTACGTCATGAAGCAAGATGGCTGCCCGGAAGTACTGACAATTCTTTGGATTGATGATTAGTTTAAATCAAATACAAAGAAAGAGAAAAAGAAAGGAAAACATAAAGAAAGAAAAACGATCAAATAAAGAAAAAAAGACGAAAAAGAAAGAAAAAAAACGGCGAAGAAAAAAAATGAGAAAGAAAAACGATAACGAAAGAAAGAAAAACGAAAAAGAAAGAAAGAAAAACTTAAAATAAAGGGGGAGAAACAAAAAGAAAGAAAGAAAAACGAAAAAGTAAGAATGAAAGAAAGAATAAAAGAAAAACGAAAAAAGAAAGAAAAAATGAAAAAGAAAGAAAAATGAAAAAGAAAGAAAAGATGAAAGAAAGAAAGGTGGAAAGAAAAACGAAAAGAAAGAAAAACGAAAAAGAAAGAAAGAAAAACTCAATATAAAGGGGGAGAAACAAAAAGAAAGGAAGAAAAACAAAAAAGTAAGAATGAATGAAAGAATAAAAGAAAAACGAAAAAAGAAAGAAAAAACGAAAAAGAAAGAAAAATGAAAAAGAAAGAAAAGATGAAAGAAAGAAATGTGGAAAGAAAAACGAAAAAGAAAGAAAAACGAAAAAGAAAGAAAGAAAAACTTAAAATAAAGGGGGAGAAACAAAAAGAAAGAAAGAAAAACAAAAAAGTAAGAATGAATGAAAGAATAAAAGGAAAACGAAAAAGAAAGAAATAATGAAAAAGAAAAGGAGAAAGAAAGAAAGGTAAAAAGAACAAAAAGAAAGAAAAACGAAAAGGAAAGAAAAAACTGAAAAAGAAAGAAAAAAGAAGAAAAAAGGCGAAAGAGGAAAGATAGGAAGAACTACGACGTTTACCTTCCCATCGTTCATCATTAAAACAAAAACAAAAAAAAAAAAAGAAAGCCTATCTCCTCCCACCCGCTATGGGTATAAAAGACAGGAGACCGTCCCCCACAACATCCAGTTCCGTCCACACGTACAGGACGAGTTTTAGTACGCATGTGCAAAATGGGTAGCCTTTTCAGCAGAAAGCCAAAGCCGCCACGCTTGATAAAGAAGACGAAAGTCGCTGAATTCCTTTCCGACTACAATTTTGATTTTGACTGCCTCGTTTTTGAAGATGGTGGCGCTAAAGGACATGCTTATATCGGAGCGCTTAAGGTTAGTGTCTTTAAATCTTTTTAATGGCACTTTTTTATATTCCGTATATCGCCTCGTACCTATAACAACAAATGTTACCATCGAACGTGGAACAGCTTGAATCAGTCAATTCTTGACAAGCTTTGATATTTAAGGGGAAAATGACGTGGTTGTTGCATAAAATAGCCCCACCTCCATTAATAACCGTAGGTTCTTTAAATGAAATACTAAATTAAATCAGATAATTGAAATCTGACAGAAGTCTCTTAATTCTCAATTAAAACGAGGATACCATTTCTGATGCATTTTTTTTCTACATAACGTTCGCCCAGTACACGAGTCACTCAAGGTTGTCAGTCAGTTAGGCGATCATGTATCTTCCGTTACATGACTGACGAGGCAGTTTTTTTTCCTGCAGTAGGTTGCCATTTCTTTCTGTGGTAGACCAGTTGCTATCCAAAGTATAGAACCCGGTCTGTCCTGCTATTTAACCATAGCTGGGAAGAAGCGGATTCATACCTTTCCCAAGGATATTATTACATGAATATAATGGATCCGACTGGAATTCGAACTCGGCTCTCCGATTCCTCAATCCGAGCCGCTATCCTACTCAAGGCTGACGGTTACTAAAAGTGATTCTTATATTGTAAGGAGTAGTAGCTATGGTTTTTGTTTTACGGTATATCGATACCTCAATGGGTTATTTAATGCCCACAAGATTCTTATTGCTGGTAATAATCTTTCCTCAAAAAAATTTATTGCTGGTATTAAAACCTATTTTTACACTTTCATGGTGTTCGGGACCCAACAATCTGCCCATAGTTGGGACCCTAACAGGTGCTACCACTCCGGGTCAGGGTGGAACTGGGAACAGCAATTAAGAGGTGGTTCTAGACTACTCAAAACCTCCCGAACAGCGTCTTTGCTGCCGGATGTAGATCAAGAGGTTTGAGAAGCGTGGAACCACCTCTTAATTGCTGGTGTTCCCAGGTCCACCTTGACCCGGGGTGGTAGCACCTTTTAGGGTCCCAGCTATGGGCAAATAGTTTATTCCCAAACTGGGCTAAAAACTATGAAAGTATAAAAATAGATTTTAATACCAGCAATACATTTTTTAAAAGATTATTACCAGCAATAAATTTTTGAAGAAAAAGACAGAAGCCACGTTACGTTGGTGACTGAAGACGAGATGCCAAGGTAGAATTTATTACATTTCGGATCATTCTTTTGATTTTGTCACTCTGGACGAATAGCAAGATCACCAGGCCAGATATGGCTCGTCCTGGGTATGACGATGAACTAAATTCACGTCCTGGGTAAGACGATAAACTACATCCGACAGCAAGGCCTTTGATCAGGAGGTTTTGAGGATTGTGGAACCACCTCTTAATTGCTGGTGTTCCCAGGTTCACCCTGGCTCCGGGTTTTAGCAATTGTCAGGGTTCCAACTATGGGCAAATAGTTAACTCCCCAAAGTGGGGGTCAAACACTATGAAAGTTTAAAAATAGGTTTTAATACCAGAAATACTTTTGAAAAAATTACCAGCTATACATTTTAGAAAAAAAAAAAAATATATATATATATATATATATATTTTTTTTTTTTAGGAACAAAATATATTACTATTGAGGTTGATATATCGTAAAACGAACCAAAACTTTCATTCGTTTTCTAGTACAAACCTTTTCTACTGGCGTTATTAAACGATATTAAGAAAATACAGAACATTCCTATTCTAATTTTTTCCCCTCTAATTCGTAAACGGTGACGCAGTCAGTTCTATAGAAACGCACCTCTGAGAAATTTTTCTGTTATAACTTTGATCATAGAAGTTAACCAATGTCGATTCGGTCAATACTTTGACGTGAGAATGCCGGATACTATAAGCAACTATCCTAAAATAGGAAATGTTTCGAATTTTTAACTACCCCACAAACTTTTAAGCCTTAAAACTACGAATCGATCACTCGTGATCTATGGAGCTTAATCGGCACTAATATTAAAGTTTCGAAGAAAATTTTCTTCGATATGCAGTTCTAGATTAGTTAAAGCAGTTTTGTATAAATTCATTGGTTAATATTTTATTGTTGCGGTTAGACATCCGTACTATGGAACTGGAAGAAGTTTCATATCTGAGAAGTCCGAAATGGTTCGGTATTCTTACCATTTTGAAATTACTGTCATTCTTATTAACCATTGAATTTATACAAAATTGCTTGAACTAGTCTAGAATGGAGACGCTTTAAATATTTTTTCCAATTCGTAAACTGTTTCGTAGTCATTTCTGTAGAAACGCACCTTTCTGAAAAATCTTAAGTTTTTGAGGGTGGGGGTCTATATTTTTATCATTAATTTAGGTACCGTCATGAGAATACTAAAAAAGAATAGTCTAAAAAAGACGCCAAACTTAACGAAAACAATTTTATCGTTTAAATGTTTGAGGAAAGGTCAAATTATTTTGGTATTTTTTTTACTGTTTTTTTTTTTTTTTTTTTTTTAATCGTTCCTAGCACGTCCAAAATTCTTTAATTTTTTTTTTTAAATCAGTTTGAAATTCTTTTAAAAATATAAAAAATACCCCCAAAATAATTTGATCTTTCCTCTTAATAAGAAACATTTAGACGATAGTTTTGTTTTCGTCAAATTTGGCATCTTTTTCGTCAGACTATGCCTTTTTTTATTTTTTTTTACTTTTTTATAGCAATCTCATAAAAGTACCTACATTAATTCATATTACAATCGATTAAACACACCAGATCACGAATAGAAAGCGCCTCTTTTCAAAATTAAGAGGCGGGTGGGGTCATTTCAATATATATTTTAAAAAAAAATTATAGGAAAAATTAAGATGCTCTAAATTCGTA